AATGTTGACAGTGTCTAGACACCAATTTTAACGAAGAAATTACTGACTTCAGCAGAGGGTGTGTGCAGTTAGTCCATACATATATATTTACGTGAGTGAGTGTACAACACATTCTTATCCATATGCTGTTCATACATCCGTATTCGCATTCGCACCCGCAAACATAAACGTAAATGCTGCCACCATATGTTACTTGGCGTGTGAGTGTGTGTGTGTGTGCGGTGCTGCTGTAAAACAAAGAATTTTAAAACTTTGCCAGCGAAAAAAACCGAAAAAAATTGCAATACACACGTACAGAATAATAATGAAAAGCAGAATTTTGCGAATTAACAAAAGGTGATTTTACAATGGGGTGTAATGAAAACAAAATGGATGTAGTAGTAAAATACTGATATTTTCGATGGAAGCATTTATACAGGCTGAGACCACTCATCTATATAACCTGTCATCAATTTGACTACAAAGACTACTTTTGTCTACAAAGATCGGGAGTCAACAAAGACTCTTTCACCTTATCACAAACACATCCGTTTGCTAGACTTATATGACTTCCTTTACCTAGTCCAAAATTTTTCTATTTTCCATCAACTAATTTTCAGAGTTTCCCAAAATACCCCTCAGCCAAATATATAAAGATTCCCCTCTTCCGAACTCTCTGGTCCGCGAAGATTATTTAAGCTTGTCAATGAAGATTAAATTCAGCTCGAATACAAAGAATTTCTTCACGTAGCCAATAGAGACTTCCTTAGTTCCTGTATGAAGATTATTTTCAGCTGGTCTACTCTTTCGTTAGTCTTCAAATAATTCTTTATGACAGTCTCCCATTAGGCCGTGTCCTTTTTAGTCTAGATGAAGTGGTCTTCCTCCAGCTTGCATATGAATATTCTCTTCAGCGCATCATGGAAAAATCCTTCATCTCGACTACAAATATTTTCACCAGTCCCTCATAAAAAATCCTTGGCTGGTCCATTAAGACTCCTACAAGACATCTACAAAGACCCCCTTAGCTCATCTCAAAGTGATTTTATAAAAGGTATAACCAATGCTTTTGGAAAACGCTCTAGAACTTGTAAATCATACCTCATTTACAAAGAATAATTTCCTCTAGTCCATAGGGACTCCCTTCAGTCAATCCTCGCTTAAGCTCGTACATGAGCTCATTAAAAATTGTTCCTCAATTAATCTATAACGACTACCTTCAGCTAGTTTATAAACACTATTAATTAATCTTTAATAACTTCCTGAAAATAAACTCCCTCCATCTTGTTTACAAAGAAAATCCACTTGTCTCCACGGACATTTTGTGCTGGTCTCGGAAAACAATAATAGTTTTTTTAGTACTTCCTTCAGCTAACCTGCAAAGACTTTGTTCAGCGACGAGCTAAAGGAATCGTCTTTAAAAAAGTCCCTTTAAAATGTCATAAGGACACCCCTCAGATCCTTTATGAAGACTCCTCCTCGCTTGTCCGTCAATAATTTTTCCAGTTCGTCTACACAGGATCTTTTTCGCCAGTCTATAAATACTCCCTTTAGCTATTCGATTGTCACGACTATCTCAAGACCGTCGTCTATAAAGTCTCTGTTAATTTTAGCTATGAAGACTCTCTCCACCTCAATGAATTACAACGACTTCCTCCAATTAAACCATAGTGACTTTGCCTTCAAAGAAATACAAAATCCTCTCATCTCTTTTGACTCAATTCAGTTTCTCATTAAGACTTCCTCATGCTGGGTAATAGGGAGTCCTTTAAGCTTGTGTAGAAATATTTTTTTTCAGCTCGTCTGTATAGTACCTATTAAGTCGTAATAAAGACTCCCTTCAGTGAGAAAAGACTCCATTTTCGCTCAGAAAAAAATATTTTTTAGCTGGTCTAAGAAAATTTCAAAAGCTTAGCCTAAATAGCTGCTTTAGTTAGTAATCAAAGACTTTATTAAGTTTCTTTTAGGTGGTCTTCATAAGCTCTCGTTAGCTCGTCATAAAGACTTCCTTCAGCTGGACTATATAGACTCCTTTTAGGTCGACTTCAAAGACTTCAGTCCGCTATTTTACGAAAATAAAAACTGCCTTCATTTCCTCTATGAATACTCCCTTAAGCTCATCTCTAATTTTTCCATCAGCTAGGCTATAATCAACCCTTTTCTATCACCAAGAATGCCAAATAAACTTTTGTTTACCTTGTCAAAACTATTTTCTTTGCTTTGAACTAATTTGGTGTTATCTGCAATTTTCCAGGCCTCTAGTCAACCTATAGTTCAACTTTCTCAAAAAAACAAAAAAGAGAAAAGCATTTCACATTCATTCAAGGAATCTGCATTCGCAGTAAAATGCAGCTTTGTTTTCCAGCAAAAGAAAAATTCCCATTTTTTTCTGACACGAAACCATTCAACAAAACTACAAACAATAATCTGTAAGGGCAATTGTGACGACGACGACGATGGCGATGATGACGACAATAGTGCTTATGACAATAACGACAGCAGCAACAACAACAACAACAGCAACATTTACAATGTCACAAGTCATATGTCTTTATCAAGGGAAACAAAAATAAAATAGATGTGAAGTTTTAAAGGTGGATGCTGCTTTTAAAAACAGCAGCTATCCTTCATGCCCATCATCATGGGGAGCATCAGCGGCATTGTCCTCGTCGTCCTCGTCGTCCTCGTCATCATCTTCATCATCCGAATTATTTGTAGTGAAATTTTTATGTCTGTTCAACATCAGAGTTTTTACTTTCACAGCGTTTATACTTTGCTGACATTTCTACTACTCCTTTTTTCGTTGTTGTTGTTGTGTTCTTTGTTCATTTTCCCAAACATTTTTCATTGCATGTTTATGAGTTGTGTTCGTGTGTGTGTGAGTGTTTTGTATTTCCAAGAATGAGAGCGGGTATTGTATGGCGTGACACAGCACATTTACAGTTGAATATAACAACAGCAATGACTCTCTTGACACAGACCAATACACAAACTCACACATATGCCTGCATTAACATCAGCGATCCCACACACACACACACAAATACACACTCACTCCATTGGCATACAAACATTCATATAAAGTTTTACAATACCAGACGACGCGGCATTTTAACCCAAGTGACAGGTTAAATTAAAACGTCACATAAATCTTTACTAGAATTTTCATTAAAATACTTAAGTGGCAAAAAAAGAAGAAGGAGGAGGAGGCAAAGGCAAAGGCAGAGAATACTTCCCGAACGTGCTGTGGCGTTGTTGTCGTTGTGTTCTCATCAACTTCTCGGAACAATACAAAGTTGTTCACTTTTCTTCAACCACTTCCGTTGGCAGTGAAGAGAGTGAGCCAACACACGAGACTCACACAAACCCACACACACACACCGAAGTACTCCCGCACTTACACTTGCAAAAATATTGCCATGAAAACAGACGAAATTGAAAATATTTTTTGTTACTGTTGCTGCTGTTGTTGTTGTTGTTGTTGGAGCAGAAACAGCCACAAAAATATGTTACACTTGGAATAAGATGTGGCAGAATTGTTGCCGTTAAAGTTAATGGCCAAAGTGTAAGTGTGGGAGCGCAGTGAGAACACCATCGCCACCGCAAACAACAACGATGACAACAACTACTTGTCTGAAATTGAAACTAAAAACCGGCGAAAACCTCAACACGAAACTATCTTTGACACAAGTTGCAAGTTGCTTCAAGCCGTAGAATGGAAGAAAAGTGCAAAAGAGGAAGTCAGATATAGGGAGAGGGGGAGGGGGAGACCAGTACCAGCGAACATTTTCCTTAGACATGATTAAATTTTCTAGGAATTTTCATTTAGAACTTTCGTTAGGATTACTCGATGCTATTTAGTGTGTTTGTGGTAAATAATTTATTAGCTGTATATGTGTGTTTGTATAGAGACGTGTGTATGTGTGTGTGTGTGTGTGTTCGAGAAAACTTTATTCAAGACATAATAGATCCAAAACAATGATAATGCTGCTACAACAAGAAGTTTGTGTGGCGAAAAGTGTTCTAAACTCGCAAAGAATAGTTAATTGTTGTGGTTATTTTCAAGGTTTTACAGTTTGCCGGAGGGGAAGGGAGAGGTGGAGGGGGATAATAATGGGAAATTATATACTAAGACTTTTTAATAAATTTGTTATTTATACAAAAGGGATAATATTTGAGAATTTTTGCGGATATTTTGTGGTCATGAAAGCAGATAATATAAAGAAATGCAATCCTTCTACGACAATTCGTGGGCTAACTAAAAGTCGTAAAGGATATTAGAAGACTACACCAGTTCCATTTTCTGGGCTCGCAATCCACAGACCCTGAGAAGTCTCTTGAAAAAGTTTGATGAATTCACAAATCTAGAACTCATAGACATCAATTGATTAAGGGAATCCTTCTTGATGTTGAGCCCAACTGACTTAATTTCATCTCTAAATTTGAAATGTCCACTACCCTTATTGAATATTTTCCTTTCTATTGGACATCTTTATTAAAAATATTTATTTTGTTTTTGGGCATATTTTCTGAATATCTAATGGTATTCCTTATACATACCAATTATTTTTCTAGAAAAACATTTTCGGAATTTTTCATCTAAAACTGAAAAAAAAAAATACTCCGATATGCAGGGCTAATTAGAAAAGCACAAAAAGAAAAATAAAATTCATATCCTATAGAGATCGAAAATACACATACACACACTTGCATGGAAACATCTATACACACATAAAGCCATATGAAAATGGAAATATTTTCCAAGAGGAAAACAATTTCATTTTCAGTTGCATTGTTTAGTTTTGGTTTAAAGAATTTACACAAACATTTGTCATATTGATTTATTAAGGACCGAACTGGTAAACAATCTCCTAGCTGGCTGGCTAGCTAACAGCATAGCTACTGGCCTTTGTGTAGTTTGTGAATTTCTTTGCAATAGATTTTTGTTGTTTTTTTTTCTAATTTAGCATTTTTTTTTTGTTGTTCTCTCGTTTTGCTGCAATGTAAAATGTGAAATTTACCTTGGAAAATATAGACGCACTATTTCACCAGCTCGTCCTTTGATGTGATAACTGCATGAGGTGTTTGGCGGATACCAGTGGGCTATGCTCAGGAATATACCCTCACTGGCACTGCTATCTTTGAGCGAGTCAGAACTTAGCAGCCAATCGCATATGCCGTGTTTGATGCCAGCCGTTTCGACATGACCTGGCCAATTGCCAACATTGAAGTGGAAGCCAGTGTTGAGCAGAGGTCCAGCAGGTGATGTAACGAACTCAACGTACATGTATTGTGAAGTGCCTGTAATGGAAATAACAACACAGTATGAACAACAACAACAAAAACAACATCAACAACAATATCACTGTAAATAAACAAATTCATACATATCGAATGAAAGATGGTAGTAGAGAGGGGTTGTTGGGGGGAGAGCAATGGAGGACATGGAGTTGACACACATTCAAAATAGACACATCGGTGTTGTCATTTGGTATCATACACGGGGAAAAATTAAAGTTTGGATGTAAGTTAAGAAAATTTAGTTTAAAATATCTAAGCGTTTTACATAATTAATTAAGAGTTTTCATCGTTCGTAGGGTATAGATGCTGCCCTTTGCAGAATTAATAAATGTCAAGAGGCCCATTTCATGGCTCATTTTTCGTTATATTTCATGTATTTATAAAAATATTAATATTAGTAAATTGAATATTAAATATTAATTTATTTTTAATAATGTTGAAGATATTACCGTGAACTTTTTGAGAAACCGTGAACTATTGTGAAATTTTAGCAGAGTATTAAGACTAAATTCTTCCATTCTTCCAAATATTGAGTCCGAGTATGCATTTTTTCCATACTACTCATGATGACTTGAGCCAAGACCCATAAGATCCCCCCCTCCCCAAATTTCTCTCACTGTATACCATGGCTATGACATTTTGTCACATTTGGTAGGCATCAATGCCCAATGCGGCCAAAGGAATGCCAATTCAGATGTAGGTGTGATATGCTGTTGGTCCGAATAAACATTTAATAAATATTAATTGCATTAGCATTTCAATATCCCTCATCTGCCATATTTGGGTTTTGATTATGGACTCCGTTTGTGCCAATCCAATCGGCAACTGGTAACTGGCCCCCACATGTAACCGGGCAGCAAGATAGGAGCCATATCCAAAGTGACAAAGCAAATAGCAACTGATACAGACATCTACAAATGTTTATTGGTACTCATTGCCATTTACATAGCTCAGAACTCGTACGTATCGATCCGATTCCATGGAGGGCAAAGGTGGAATTGAGTTCATTTGTCCGTGTGTGTGCATGGGTGTGTTCAGTAGTATGGAAGGATGCATTTACAAATTAACAGGACATGTCAAGGGGTCAACAAGCCAACACATACACTAATAAAATTCTACATAAGCTATTGAAGTTGAAAGCATTTTTTTGGAATAGTTAGTCATCCCCTACCTCCACCCCCAACCCCTCTGGGTGCAATCACACGTTTGCATAAATTACTTCTTTAACTTTGTTATTTGCATTGCGACTAGACCCTTTTTTTGCTTCCTTTAAGGGATAAATGCAGTTACATTGCCAAACATTAAACGGAGTGATCCACCTCGCTTTGGGGGGGGGGGGGGGAATATGTGTTCGCTCTTCTAAGTATTTTAATTTCATTCACAATTCAATTTTGAGCAGCACTTCTCCGAACTGTTGCAATTGAAAAAATATTCAATAAAATGCCAAGTACATGAAAACACACACACACACACAGAGATATTCATACACACGCACACACGTGAACACTTCGAAGCCCATTTAAATGTTTTTCCAAAGAATTGGGGTCAAGGGTTATTATTATCAGCATACCGTTAGAACTTTAAAGTTCAAGTGGAAAACTAATATTAGTTATTGCAAATAACATTTGGAAATTATTATTAACGAGAGGCATGGCTACTACCACTTCTCATATGAAATAGTGAATGACCTGCATTGAGAAAAGAGAGAGGAATTTTGGCCAATTCTCTATTGGAAGGGGGAAAGCTGTTAGGGAGAAAAAATAAATTCTTTTGTAGAGGATGTCAAAGGATCGGATTGGAGTGGGAGTATTCCTGCAAGTATAAAAAGAAAAAGGAGCATACTCTATACCAATAAGAGCGAATCTTAAAACTCTCTAGATCTCTCTGAGATTTTTCTTTTAATTTTCCATGAACAGCTTAACAATGTTTGACTCCCTTAAAAATTAATCGTGACAGGCAGTATGCAAACTTGAAAATTACCACATATTTGAATCTCTCTTGCCACCGCTTCCTTGTCCGTACTTACCTATAATACTAAAGGGGAATTTTCCTAGGCCACAGAATTTACCAATCAGCGGTGAATGTTCATCGCGTCCATCGTAGACAGCCAACCAGTCGTAGGGACAATGCTCGTTGCCGGAACCAATGTGGCGAATGGGACAGGTCATGACATTTTCGCATCTGCAAAGACAGAATATAAAAATAAAAATCAAAACAAATGACACCGTCGACGGGTCTAGCCCAACATTTGACAATCATCAAATTTAATGTCACAATTTTAAGTTGGCAAGTATCGCCAACACTTATTTCCTTGCACCAGATCCTCCGCCCCTCCCTCTCCTTCATAGAGCTCTTGACAAACATAAGCTAGGAATTAATGACCTCGTCTTCGCATCATTACAACGTCACTTGGCTTGAAGGTTTAAAACTTTCTAATATCCTCATCATTGTCGACATCACGGAAATTTCAACGACCAACCGCGAATGGTGACAGCATAAAAAGCAGGACTTTTTCGAACATTAGCGCCAACTGAGAACAGACGTCCTGCAGGCTCATTATCATCCATGAATTTTAACAAAGCATTTCAAGTGATTATTTTTTTGCGTTTGTTTTTGGTTTTGGTGGGGAATGTGATGGCGATTTGGTTGATTGTAATCGTCATCATCATCATCATCATCATTATTCACGAAAACACACGCATTCGTCCACAAATCGTCTGTCTGTTGGTCGATCGGTCTGAGTGACGGTTGGTTGGCATGTGCGTCCCTTCATATTTGTAGACCACATGATGAAATTGTTATCCTACTATTATGGTGGAATTTAGCGATAACCATAATGGTCATGCTGGGGTCCAATCGCAGCAGCCGGGCTGCGAGTGAAATACTGTCACATCAGCATTATCATTAGAATCAAAGTCAGCAAAAGCAGCATCGACCAGTCACCGCCACTGATGCCGTGTAGCAGAAGGACAATGATTCTGGACAGTGAGCCGGCCAGGCCAACAATGCTCTCGTCGATGTAATGCCAAGTTAGCCATAATTATAAAGTTACCAAACAATTTCCCATCTTTCGTTCACACTGTTGTTGTTGGTGTTGTTGTTGTTGTTGTTTTTCAATTTCTATCCAACATTTCCATTTTACATTTAAATAATTGATGATGACAAGCAACTGTTTTAAATGAGGGTATGTCCAACTAATACCTCTAGCCTCGCGAGCTTCCCGCACTGTACCCCAGCCCACCCCTCCTCATCCCCACTGTGTTTGCTTTCGTTGTCATCCTGTGGAACATTTGCCAGCAATTTGTAAAATTGAATTATGATTTATGATCGAATGATGATGATATGCATTTTTCAAAAAATTTTATCGTTTCCAATGAAACGTTGCAGTGTTGTGCCATTGAGCAAAACATTGAAACAACAATAATGACAATGAGGCGAGAAAGAGGGAGAGAGAGAAGTTAGGTGGCTGGTCCTCCTCATTTGTCCCCAGGGTGACCATCGCGCAGTGGGAACAGAAGGTGCCATTTAATTTTATTAAACTTGAAATAGATAATTTGTCACTCTCGTCACGTACATTTGTCTCAATTTGTAAAACGTGGAGTTAATGTTGAGCAAATGATATAACTGGGTGGGTGTGCGTGCGTCAGTGTGTGCGTGCGTGTGTGTGGCGAATGAATAATTATGACACAATTCTGATTTGCAAAATGTGTGGGGGAACAGCTAAATGATAATTATTTTCCATATACAATTATTCTAATGCCAGGAAATTGTAATAAGTGATATATTTCCGAAATAAGTTGGGACATCTACATATATGGTCAAATATTCATAACCTGAAGAATCAGAAAATATGGAATTTAATGAATCAATAAATCAATCCTAACCAGATTCGAGACAATATATTGAATTGCACCACAAGTTTATTAAAAAAAAAATGGAGGACATATTCCGGATAAAATAGTAAATCTTCATTAGAGGGATCACTCCCTCCATTTTTAGAAAAAAGAATCAATAGGTTTGAAATGGACCAATGCAAATAGAGTTCTAACTCCGGGCCAAAACTTGTCTGGATTATTAAATTAGTCAACGTCTTCTATAAGAGTTGGAATGTAATCTGGGAATGTTGTAATCTGGGAATGCTTCTTCGACTTCGAATCCTATTCAGCCTTAGATAATATGAATACTGATCTAGGGGTTCACTGTTATTTCCTTGGATCTGCATATAAATTCCCAGGCTTGTGTAGGTTTTTTGATTTTTAGAAGAGTTTTGGCAGAACTGAATACGTTCGTATAATATAACAATTACTATTTTATATCAGACAGCTCTGGAATGCAGACCCTTATGTGGTCTTTATGGGGAATTATGAAACTGCATTTTACAAGGTGACCCCATCTCTTAACCCATGTGACGAAAAGGGCAGCCTTCTGAACTTTATCTTATATTTCTATATTCCTCGCCTTGAATTAAAAAGTTTTTCTGGCTTTCGCATCGTGTATTTCCTGAATTTTCCCAGGCATCGGGAATTAAAAAGAGGCCATGGGTAATTAAAATACTTGTTTCGGCTTCCCTGAATTCTAGTTCATCAGTTACTTTAAGATAACCATAGAGATTCTGAGGGATCCAACGCTTGGATAATTTCGCTCTTCTGTTGACACCTGTAGCATCCTTCGATACAAAGAGATACAAGGAGATCCTGTACGGTGTAGTCCATTTTTCTTTGACTTATATCCTGGGTGTATGCTATGAAAATAGCTGTAAAATACCTCACGTATTCCTTCACCCTTTAATTGGACAGCCGTGTGAACATCTTCCTTTCAATGCTCTAGAAAATCTTAACTTTTACCCATAATTCATTGGACTCTCCAACTTAACCTTGTGTTCAGTCCCTTACCTATTGGCTTCCAATACTATACCTCTGAGTTTTAAATGTCATTTTAGGTTTTTTTTCTTACCCCCAGCAACTGTATAGGGCAAAAAATCTAAAACATTCATATTTTCTATTTCTACTTTCAGGATTTAATTAAATTCCTGTAAAAACTTGCCAAAATTCTTGCTCCCCATACATAGGCTCACAGATGATGGCCCGTCTGTCGGCTGGTTTTAGGCTGGTGTTTTATGAGTTTTCAAATTAAATCACACTTGGCTGGTCAAAAGTTTGCTTCAAAGAGATATGTTCTTTATTGAGCACGTCTGGCTTTCCTCACTCACACACACACACACCCCCATGCGTGATGTAAATAAAAAATGAATCCCCTCAACACCTCTCGTTGAAGAATCTCAGCATGTAATAACTTTCTGGAACAACTTTTATACCCTCAGCCATATGGCTACAGAGGGTATATATCATTTGATACGGTAAAAACGTGCCTAGTCGAAATAACGGTTTTAGACCCTAGGTCTCTTTGGACCAAATCCGTTTCAGGACATTTGGAGTCGATCTAGCGATGTCCGTCCGTCCGTCTGTCTGTCTGTCTGGCTGGCTGGTGCGCACGATAACTCTCGAAGGGAGTACCCGATTTGGCCCAAACTTTGTACATCGTCATATTTTGTCAAACTTAGATCGAGTTCGGAGATGGGCAATATCGGTCCACCCCTTCTGGTACCTCCCCCACAAAAGTTCGAAATTTTCAAAAAATATATTTTCTGCACAGAAAGAGAAATGATGATCCGGGTTTGCTCCAACTTTGCAAATCCTAATATTTTTGTCAGTGCTAGGTCAAGTGCGAAAATGGACAATATTGGTCCACTCTATCAAGTACCTCCCCCACAAAGGGTCAACATTTTGAATAATAACAACTCTTATAAAATGTGAAGTAAGAGTCCGATTGTCTTCAAATTTCACACATCCCAATAATTTATTAGCGTAATATCTGGTGTGAAGATGGAATACATCGGCCCACTCCTTCTGGTACCTCCCCCACAAAAGGTCGAAATTTTCAAAAAAAAAAATATATTTTCTGCACAGAAAGAGAAAGGATGATCCGATTTTGCCCCATCTTTGCAAATCCTAATATTTGTAACAGCGCAAGGTCAGGTGCAAAAATGGACAATATCGGATCACTCCATCAAGTACCTCCCCCACAAAAGGCCGAAATTTGCAAAAAATATTTTCTGCACAGAAAGAGAAAGGATGATCCGATTTTGCTCGAACTTTGCGAATCCTAATATTTGCGTAAGTGCTAGGTCAGGTGCGAAAATGGACTATATCGGTCCACTCCATCAAGTACCTCCACCACAAAGGGTCAAAATTTTGAATAATTCTAACTCATATAAAATGTTATGTAAGGAACCAAACGTCTTAAAATTTCACACACCCCAATATTTCTATAAACTAAGATCTGGTCTTAAAATGGAATATATCGGTCCACTCCTTCTGGTACCTCCCCCACAAAGTGTTGACATTTTGAATACCCATGTGGCTCATAAAACGCCAAATTAACATCCGATTCCATTTAGACTTGGCACATCTGAATATTTCTATCAACACAAGATCTGTTATAAAGATGGTATAGATCGAACCATTTCTTCCGGTACCTCTCCCATACATAGGGTTCAAGATTTTGAAAAAAAAAAACGCTCAAATAAAGCGAAATAAGCTTCTCTGCAAATTTCAAACATACAAAATTTTTGCTAACACAAAATTTGTATATATCTTCGAAGCCCTTCTGGCACCTCACCCACATAGTGTCACAATTTTCAATAATTTTATGTGTTTTTATGATTTGGCATAAAATACGAAATGGACAATATTGACCCATTTCTTCGGAACCTGCTGCATAGAGGGTCAAACGTTTGAATAATCGTAATACTAGCCAAAAAATATTATTTAAATAACGTAGGCTGAGGGTATATATCTGTCGGCAATACCGACTGATACTTTTTAACTGGTTTTTGAGAGGTCGTCAAAGCTTTTAATTGAACTTAAATTTCCTTCGTTCAGTTCTATGTTTTTCTTTTTTTGGTGACGCCAATTCATTTGACGTTATCTTCCGTTTCCTTTTGCAAAAATTAATCAAAACCCGGAAACGGAATTTTAATATTATTTTGTTTCTGTGTGCGTTTGTGTGTTGTGTTGTTTTTGCCTTATTCCCCACGAAAAGTAAACAACAACAAAGCAATTGGACTCTGGTGGCATATTTCTGTTTTGTTTCGTTACTTCTATTACTTTTAGGTTAG